ATTATCAGTGAAATCAAATATTATTACTTGATTAATAAGTAAATTTAAAAATTGATAATTTTAAAAAATAAATGTTCATAATTTTTAAAATATTATTTTAAAATATATTTAAAGTTTTATCTTTATATATTTATAAAGTGACACTTTATGACTAAAATTGTAATACATAAATATTATAAATACTATAAATTATTACTAACAATTTTTTGATTAAGTGTTTTCTCTCTGTTTTTACTTATGCATTGCCCTCTCTATGGTTTGTCACACTAAGTTCACCTTTTCTCTTTTAATTAAAATTTGACTTGACAAATCTTATCACTTGCTACCCATCACCTATATAAGTCACAAGTAAAACAGTCCATCCAAAACCAAATCTTATAATAACTCTTCCCTGATGATTCCATATGAAAAACTTAATTACTTCTTTTGACTTATAACACTCTCTTGCTGATATATTCATGTGACACTGTCTGGATTCCTATTGAGACTTTTTTTTATATTAAGTTATAAATTTTTTTTCCTTCTTTTATTTCTTTCTCTACCAAAAATAACAAAAAAAATGCCACATATTAATCACTTGACACCTCATTTGATGAGTTGTCCTTCAATTGGGAGTTGGCTTTACTTGAAGACTTCTTTAGGGCAAATTTTGCAATAAAATTATCATTTTTTACCTTTCTGTAAAGTTAAATAATAAGGACCATATGGTCTATAAGATTAATTTGCAGCTGTGGATTTAAATTCAATAAAGAAACAAGCAAACCCATTCAACTGGTTAATAAAAAAAAATAAAATTAAAAAAATAAAGAGTCCAAGGAGATAAGGACTCTTTAATAAGTAATAATAAAAATAAAAATAATTATTGTTAAGAGTTGTATTTAACTTAAAGATGTAAGAATTGATGTAAAAATCCATAAAAGTGAAATATGTAAATTTAAAATCTTAATGTAAATATCTGAGAGTTAACCTAATATGTCAATTAAGTAAAAAAATATAATTTTTGTGTAAAATAAATATTTAAATTTATATTTTTAGACTAAAAATATTTAATGATTTATAAATTTTAATTTTAAAATAAATAATAATAAAGATAAAAATAATTATTGTTAAAAGTTGCAATAGAAAAGCCTTGACGTAAAGCTGTAAAAATAAATTTAAAACCTTATAAAAGTAAACAAACATATTTAAAATCTTAACCTAAATATGTGAGAATTAGCGTAATAGGTCAATAAAGTCATAAAAATCTAATTTTAATAAAAATAAATAGTTAAATTTATATTTTGGGACTAAATGTACTTAAAATTTTACAAATTTTAATTTAAAACTAAATAATAATAAGAATAAAAATAATTATTGTTAAAAGTTGTTATTGCAAAGTTTATATGTAAAGTTAAAAGAATTAACGTAAAAACTCATAAAAGTAGAACAAGCATATTCAAAATTTTAATATAAATGTATAAGAGTTAACGTAGCAAGTCAATTAAGTCACAAAAATCTAATGTTAATGAAAAATAAACATTTAAATTTGTATTCTTAGGTTAAAAATATTTAACGGTTAATAAATTTTAATTTAAAAATAAATAATAAAAAAATAATTATAGTTAAAAATTGTTATTGAAAAGTCTTGAAGAATTGATGTAAAAACTCATAAAGGTAGAACAAGTATATTTAAAATTTTAACATAAGCATGTGAAAGTTAATGTAACAAGTCAATTAAGTCGTAAAAATCTAATTTTAATTAAAAACAAATATTTAAAGTTGTATTTCATGGCTAAAAGTATTTAATCATTTACAAATTTTAATTTAAAAATAAATAATAATAAAGATAAAAACAATTAGAGTTAAAAATTACCATTGAAAAACTTTGAGGTAAGGCTATAAAAATTGATATAATAAATTATAAAAGTAGAACAATCATATTTAAAATTTTAATGTAAATTTATAAGAGTTAACGAAATAGATCAATCAAGTTATAAAAATGTAATTTTAAAGAAAACAAACATTTAAATTTATATTTTCGGACTAAAAGTATTTAACGATATATAAATTTTAATTTTGAAAAAAAAATAATACGGTTAAAAATAATTATAATTAAAAATTACTATTGAAAAGCCTTGACGTAAAGTTGTAAGAATTGATATAAAAATATATAAAGGTGGAGCAGGTAAATTTAAAATCCTAATGTAAATGTGTGAGAGTTAATGTAATAAGTTAATTAAGTGAAAAAAATTTAATTTTAATGAAAAACAAACATATAAATGTATATTCTTAAGCTAAAAGTATTTAACGATATACCAATATTAATTTTAAAATAAAAATAATAAATATAAAAATAATTATAGTAAAAAACTACCATTGAAAAGCCTTGATGCAAAGTTGTAAGAGTTAACGTAAAAAGTTATAAATGTGGAACAAGCAAATTCAAAATCATAAAGTAAATATGTGAGAGTTAACATAATAAGTTAATTAAGTAAAAAATATAATTTTAATAAAAAAAGAACATTTACATTTATATTCTCAGACTAAAAATATTTAACAGTATACAAATTTTAATTTTAAAACAAAAAGTTATAAAAATAAAAATAATTATAATTAAAAGTTATCATTGAAAAGCTTTAATATAAAATTGTAAGAGTTGATATAAAAGCTTATAAAGCTGGAACATGTATATTTAAAATCTTAGTATAAATGTGTGAAAGTTAATGTAACAAATCAATCAAGTAAAACAAATATAATTTTAATAAAAAATAAATATTTAAATTTATATTCTTGATCTAAAAGTATTTAATGATGTACAAATTTTAATTTTGAATAAATAATAATAAGGATAAAATAATTATAATTAAAAGTTACCATTGAAAAATCTTGATGTGAAGTTATAAGAATTAATGTAAAAACATATAAAGGTAAAATAAGCAAATTTAAAATCTTAACATAAATGTGTAAGAGTTAACATAACAAATTAACTAAGTAAAAAAATTTTTAATTTTAATGAAAAAGAAACAGTTAAATTTATATATTGGGCTAAAATTATTTAATGATTTACAAATTTTAATTTTAAAATAAAGAATAATAAGTATAAAAGTAATTATAATTAAAAGTTACCATTAAAAAGTCTTTGATGTAAAATTTTAAGAGTTGACGTAAAGACTTATAAACATAAAATAAGTAAATTTAAAATCTTAACGTAAATGTGTAAAAATTAAAGTAATAAGTCACTTAAGTAAAAAAAAATCTAATTTTAATAAAAATATATTTAAATTTATATTCAGGAGTTAAAGTATTTAACAGATTACAAATTTGAATATGTAAATAAATAAAAGCAAAGATAAAAATAATTATGGTGAAAATTTGTAATTGAAAAACCTTAACATAAAATTAAAAGTATTAACGTAAAAAATTATAAAGTTAGAACGATTATTGTTAAAATACCAACGTAAATGTATAAAATTTAAAGTAATAAATTATAATAATAAATTAAATTAAATTAATTAAATATAACATTAATATTAAAAAATATTCTTATATTTTAAACTAAAAAATAAAAAAAAATTAAATAACATTTAAAATAAAATAAATAAATTCAAACATTACCTATATTGTTAACGTAAAATAGATAAATTTAAAAATTATATATGCTGTTTATCCGTTAATTTGTTATACAAGTTTCTTTTTTTTAAAAAAAACTTAAATTCATTAACTTTATCACACGGTTAGACCTATTGTAGCGGTTTCCGTTAATAATAGGCTACACGTAATAGATGAACTTGCAAGGCCCAGCCGAAGGGATTCTGGCCTCAATGGTGGCCCATTACAGCAGTGACTAAGGATCGGCCCAAATGCTGGTGGGATAATTTATCGTGAAGAGAGGGTGAGCAGTGAGATTTTGTTTCTTCTGAAGTTTGGATTTTCTTGATAGGATGCTAAATTTCAGTTTGATGGCTTGGAGGACAAACTACTTTTCTGTTTCAGAATGCGTGTTAATTTGGATCTGATCCCATGGTGAGCAGGAATGAAATAAAGCAATTTGAAAAACACAAGTGGTTTGGATGAAAAGGCTCGTAGCCTTTGTGTGTCAATCCAGAATCTGGCGCTTTCAATGGCTATTTTTCTCAATAATTTCCATTTTTGGATTGTTTTCTTGCCTGTTTCTGAAACGAAAGTGCCACTCTCGAATCAGTCAACTTGTCTTTCCCTATTAATTTAAGAATGAATTCTTTTATTTATTTGGCTAGGAGATGGTACAAAGGATTAGGAGCAAGTTCCTTCTTTTTTCAGACTCAAGTTCATTTATTTACTTAAGTTGCTGTACTTGTGGATTTAGCTAACAATATTTTTGATGGTTGATCCAATTATTTCAGGTTTTACGTTGCTGTTTACATCACCAATGTGTTCTTTGGGAAATGGCTGGAGTTTGTCTCCTCCATTTGTGCTGGTAATTGTTAATGTTATGCAGCTCTTCGACCTGATGCAATAACGCAGAGCAATTCAAGGCATCTAGCTTTCCTTTTGTCACTTCGATTTTCTGGTTATAGACATTGTGGCCGCAAATATTCATGGTTAAGTTTCTTTTGGATGGGAGTGTTTTGCAGAACAGAGTCCCAATTTCCCTTTGCCCCGGACATGCTTTCTGGTATCAAAAACAAAAGTTTGTCAAACTACTCAGGACAGCATCGCCAACAAAATTGGAGTCTGAGGTATTTTTCTTGGAGGAATGATTTGAGGTAGGCATGTATCTTGTCTGCCATTGAGAACAATATGGCACCTAACAAAGTCTTCACACAAAATGAATGGAAAAAAACAAAAAAGAAAATGTGTTCACAACCTGAATTCTTCCATAACATCAACAAACATCCCCTCACTCTCTTGGTCATCCCCGTTTTTATATTCTTAATTGCCTTTAGAAGAAATTTTAACTGAAGAAAGCAAGAAGTTTATGAATGAATGAGTATAAATTGAAACAGAAACCATGGCCTGAGGCACCAAAATCTCCTCTCATCTTTCCCTGTTTTCTTGGTGCATATTAGCTGAAAAAGATTGAGATAGGAATGGTGAAGCTCGGGATCCCTACATTATTTCTCTTCAGTATTTTCTTGGTAGCCCTGCCTAAGACACTTTCCCAACTGCCGAGGCCAATACCACCACCCCGTCCACTTTGCGCTTCCCAATTCGCCCTGGTGAACTATGCATGTGGCAGAGTGCCACTTTTCCCATTGGCACCTCGAACACCTCCCCCACCTCCTCCATCCCCTGACTCCCCAGAAGGACAAAAACACGAGCATAGACACGGTCACAGGCATAGGCATAGGCATGAGCCCCACGAGACACCTGAACAGCATAACTGTTGTCGATGGTTAAAGGAGGTGGATCATGAGTGTGTATGTGAAGTTCTGGTTCACTTGCCCGCCTTCCTTTCCAGGCCTAACCATGACTACACTGTATTTGTTGATGAAACCTGCAGCTACACCTACACATGTGGAGGGCGAATAATAAGACCATGATGCAGCTCATTTTCATCTTGACTTAGTTTAACTATTCTATAGAATATTGAATTATGGCTATATCTGCTTTTAATTTCGAGTTTGGTGCGAACATATATTGCTACATGTGTGTATGTGTGCTTGTTTTTTTTTTTTTTTTTCATTTTCAACTTGCTACTATAGTTTGATTGTTGGCTAAGCTATACTCTGGCTTAAAATAATTTAGTTTGTTCATCATATATAAGTTGCGGCCACTTCTTTGGTTAGTGCTTACCCGTTTAGATAGCAGGTGTCTAATAAGAATTTGTAGCTGTGCCTGCAATGACAAAGATAACAATTAAAGCTATGGGTTACTCTGGTTCTTAAGTTCTCCTCATGACATAGTGAGAAGGCATACAGTTGTTTAGTGTTTCAAGCCTTTCAGATTATTTCCCGAATCTTATCAACATTTACTTGGCTTTCATTTGTCTTTTTCGTATCGATAAGGAACATACATTATATCTAGAAATATTCTTGTTTTTGGATCTTCCAACTCAATGAAACAAAGCTATGGTTTATTAGTAAACTTGTCTACACTTAAGAATCAGAGGTTAAGAGGTTACTCAAAAGAGCAAAGCCCAGTTAACGCAGAGGATAAGCAGACGTTGCAATCCAATTTATATCATCAAATTGATTCAAAATGATTCCAAAGGCACCATGAGCAAAAGTGCTCATCATAGGATGTAGTTCTCGGGGATTGGATACCAGTGTTACCATCATATCCACAGGAGAATATTTTTCTACATCTTGTCGCAAAGGACAGAGAAGAGCACCCACCCCGAATGAAAATTACGGAGTGATAAATTGAAAAAAGTTTATTCCTGGCTTAGCTTTTGATTCCCAAGAACAGAATAAGTGGTTTACAGTTTGGTTATGCTAGTCGGTTTCATGTTGCTCCATATTCATTCCACACCGCTGAAGCTTTTGTTTGCTTTAAAATAATCAACCGCGAAAACCAATTGGACCACACTGCAACTTTGTATGTAGGAAGGAAACCCTCCACTCTCTTTTTCTTCGGTGCTAAATTAAGAATCTGTCAGCACACATATTAATATATATACATATATATATATATATATTAATGTCAAAGCTCAACAACGCCTCTAGTTGTTCAGGTTTCTCTTCACAGCCTTAATTTCAGTGTTCAACGATAGCAAGATTCTGCTGTTAAAATACTAAATGGATCACTGATATATTAGGCTTAATCTGATTACATGTTGCGAGATTTTACAGTTCAAACAACTTATTGATCATCAGTTTATCACCCCATTCTAAAAAAGATTGTATCACATCCCCTCCAAAGCATTTCATCTATGCTAGGTTCTAATTTGAAACCGATTGTTCCTACATTAATTTGACATTCTCTTTTTCACTTTCATGTTTTCTTATTTTTCTCCACCAAAGAAACAAAAAATCTACAACCATTGATGCTCATAAAACACAAACCTTTATTTTTTTTTTTTAATACTATGTGGATTTAACTTATTTTTAAGTTTTTTTTATTATTAATATTAATTTAATAAAGTAAAAAAATGTTTTAATCATTTTATTGTTCAAGGTATATAAAAATTGACTAAAGAAAATACAAGATGAGTCCAAATTTATTCCGTCTCAAATGATAACGTAGTTTTTTTTTTTTTTTGTTATTTACCGAAAGAACAAAGAGAGAGAGAGTTGATAACTATCCTTTTTTTTTTTTTGCAGAGCCTTTTAAACTTTTAAGCTAAAAGGAAGTATTTATTTCTTTGTTTGGTTTGCTCTATTGTGGGTCCATGAGCACTTTTTTTTTAAATTTTTTTTTTTTTTGAGTCTGTTTATGCCGTGGTGATATGGAACTATAGATGGCTGGAATCTAGTACATATGTGAGAAGGACTAAAGGACCGACAACTTGTTGTTTGTACATATATTTGGTCCTCCCTTACCATTTAGTATGTAAGTATTAAGAATTAAAAAGGCTGGTCAAGGCTCAAACAACATTTCCAACTATTCTTTCGTTTTTGCATTTTAAAGAAATGTAATTGTAATATATCTATGAATGAACTCAATCAAACATTCATAGTTACTGGCGAATACCAGCATCAAAACTACCACTATATACTAGTTGGTGGCAGTCTTCCTCTTTCTCAGTTTCTCATGTACATGTGTTTGTTAATAGCAATTTGTTTTTGTCAGTATTTTCGTTTTGACAAGTGGCTATAGAGAATCTTGAGCGGCTACCAGCCAGCAATGGGCATGAGCAGCAGGCGTGTGCTTCAACAATCTCTCCCCACTAAATATTATGAGCAAGTCAGCAAGCAATTGCATCGGTTTTTAGGTTGCTTTCCAACTGTACGGCCGCTTAATCAAGTACATACATTTCTGTTGTGCTTGCTGCTGTTTGACTGTTCCTAGTGTCGTGAGAAGTTGATGTTTTCGATAAAATTGTTCTACTCTCTCAAGTCTCAACAATGAACTTAACAGCAGCATGTCTTGCCGAAAGAAAAAGAAAAGAAACTTACATTTACATGGGTCGTTTCTCCCAAAATTTGCATTACAGTTTACAATCCCAGTAACCAGTTTAAACAATTGCATCACTTGATTGTGTCTTGCAGTTCAAGTGGCAAGATAAAGGTGTCTTAGGCTGCTTTCTGATATATATCAGAAAGAAAAAAAATGGTATCTCAACTGATGGGACACCAAAAAGAAAAAAAAGGAAAAAATGCTTTCACATCATTAAATGGAAGGGGCCATGAAATTCCAAAGTGACTTCCATTAAGTAGCATATCTCCATTATTTTAACACTGAAATGTATCACTTCACTAGTTATTCCTGGGTCAGATACGATTTTACAGCATTAGGCCACAAGGCACTGAGCAATGTATTCTCTACGGGCAGCTTTAGTGACCAGAGCCTCAGAGCGGACATTGTATAGAAATTCTGCCACCATCTCCGTACTTGGACCAGCTACAAACTCTTCCCATGCCTCATCCGCTTCTTTGCCACGCCTGAGAAAAACTTCAGTGGCATCAAGCCTGTGTATCTTCCAATTCTTCTTATTCCTCAGCCGGTGGATCTTCTCCAGTTGGCGACAAGCCAATTTGCACGTATTCCTTTTGATTTCTTGTATTGCTTCTTGCAGCAGCTTAGCACGGCCTTGTTTGTCCAAAAGTGGTTCAGCTCTAAAGTAGCGATCAAATTCAGGAACTCCAATGGCTTTCCTAATCCCCCGTGTATAATTTGCGTTGGAATCGAAATACTTCCTCACCTCATCCACCATTCCATTTTCAACCATCTTATCTACTCGCTCTGATACATAATGATGGAGCACTGGCATTGCTACATCCACCCAAAGGAAACAACATTCATATTTTGATCGGAATCTATAGTCTTTGTCATCAACTAAGGCCTCAATGTATGAATTGGAGCCTCCAGCTATAACTGGAAGCTGGCTGCGGGACAAAATTGAATCCATGGCATGTGTAGCCATGTCAACAAAATTTGTTGCTGTAAAATCTGTATTGGGATTTATTACACCTAGCAAATGGTGTGGAATTCCGCACCGCTCGTCCTCGGTGATTTTGTTGGTGGCTATGTCAAGTCCCTCGTGTGCTTGTATTTTATCTGAGTTGATAACTTCTGCTGGAAATCGGGTTGCAAGGTCAATGGAGAGTCTTGACTTGCCGGTTCCTGTTGCTCCCAGTAGGATCACAACCTTCTCTTTTTGTCGCCTAGGACTAAAGAAGTCCACCAAATTCAGCATCCCAGAAGCTCTGTCCGGTAAAACCACTGTTTGTTTGCACATAGACAGGGAAATTCTCATCATGATTTACCTATCAGGAAACAGCAACATTTTAAGTAAAAAGTTAAAAACTCTCATTTCAATTATATTGTACCTCGGCTTCGGAATACCGTGAACAATAAATGAACATGCAAACACTTGTCCTTTTGGAAACCTTACCTTTTTAAGTCTGTGCAGCACCTGAGGAAGGTTCCAGTATGACAGTCCAAAGAATGATCGTACAAGGCCTTAGAAAATACCAATGAAGATTTTCTTGGGAGCGGAAAATTCTGTGCGCGTGCAGCAAATAAAGAGTGTGAAGGAAGTAGCAAAGACAATTATGATTCTCTTCTAAGCTCAAACCAACTCCACGAGTCATAACAAGCTGGAGCAAACTACCAATTTATAGGCAATGCCAAAGGGGTCAACTTGCAGTCTCCCTTTCTAATCTATCTCTCTAGTCAAAGAAAAAGTGGGTTTATTGGTATTCCTTCTCAAAGTTCAATTGCTTTGGTTATAGTCTAGCTCTTTAAATTTTTAAGCTCTGTCGTATTTATATTAAGATTGGACCCTCCGATAACGTGGAAAGTCACACTGTGCCCAAAAGCACTCAAAAAATGGTTCTCTTTTGGTGATTTGATATTTCTATATATGGTTATACTACTACCAAATTGTAGAAGAAAATGGTTTTTAAGTAGGATTTTCGTCCCGAATTTTTGTCCTGCATCACAATATATGGTCATAATCTTAAGTGCCTAGCTTTCCACGCCTGCCATTGAAGAAGATGGGATTAAAAAACTCTGACCCAGAATTTAAATATGTGCAGATTACATTCCTGATCATGCTTTGCACTTTAGATTTTAGCTTTTAAACTTTGGTAATAAGTCGTTGAGATTTTCCTGGAATAAATACAAAGAGGAAGAAAAGCCTGAAAATACATATGTATGACTTTTTACACCTTGTTCCCTCCCAGCATAGTTAGCAAGTAACAAAGTCATTAGCAATAACGCAACAATCAAATGGCAGATGTGTACTTCAACTTTAAAGTTGACCATGATCTGCAGCAAACTTTAACAGATTCTTACAGTGACAAGGGAATGTTATCCTGGTTGTAGCTGTACTCTACTGCAGATGGCGCTTTCCTTTGGCTAAACATACGATTCCTCCTCCAAGTGGTATACATGGCCGCGGATTTGGCATCAAACCGTGGAAGAAGTCACCTCACTTTCTTTCCGAGTGTCACGATCATGCCGTTTAGAAGAAAAACAATTGAGTTTAGTTTGTAAACTCTTTCCGATGAGCTAGCCGATTGATGAATGTGCGAGACGCATCAAATTTTTTGACAAATTAAACTTATTCAAGTAAATACGAATCATGTGGTTACTTTCTCAAAAAAACCACAATTAAAAATGTAGCCGCCCACATATTGATCGTTTTTTCTGAGCCGGTAAAAAAGTCAAAAGAGTTGCAGAATAAGGGTTTGGATTCCAAAATGGAAAGTGTTACTTAAAATATAATGACAAAGTATTACTTAAAATAAAGTATTTTTTTTATCAAATGATATTTTTATGACAGCATTATAATAAAAAAATTTTAATAAATTAAATTTATTTTTTTAAAAAATATTCTCACATGACGGGGCAACTAATGTGAATATATCATTCCGTCAAAACAGAATGACATGGATATATTATTACCTTTTAGCCATTAAATGATATAAATAATAATACTTATAAATATTGATGATCAAAATTATATTTTTTTTAAATTAAGTGTTCAATATAAAATATTTTAAAAGCATCAATTGACCAAAAAGATAATTTACTCAAACATCATTTGATTATTAATTCAAAAAAATTCACGATCATGGTTTGACCTATAAAAAAAAATGATTCGCATGAATCTATTTTCTTTGTTTTTTCTAAATTAAAATTAAGAGAAAAAAACAGCACCGAAAGATTGATATCTAACAATTAAAAAGCTTTTTCTTCCTAGATCTGTTGAAAGTAAAATAATTACTTGAAATATATATATATATATATATATGTATATTTACATGTATACATTTGGTTCGAAATCCTTTTAGAACGGCATAGATGTGAAAGTATGAAAGTCTTTTACTTGATTCGGAAGATTAATGTATATAATATTTGGGATATCAATAATTAAATTTGCGCAAAAAAGTCTTCTCTCCGTACCTGTTGGGCAAAATCCGGTGATGGATCGCCCTCACCTAATTTAAAGATTTGATCATCAGTCGACATTGTTCCCGTAAACTGCAGAATCCGTTTGAATCCCTCTTACAGTCACACGTGTTGATTTTTAGTCTTGACGTGTGTTTATCTTCTATTCCAGCTGGAGAACGACCCAACAGATAGTCGTCTCCTGGTCCAGTTTCAGGTAGCTGTCCCGTCCGACTGAACCTCAAACTTACTGTTAGTGTAATCTCATCCTGTGCCCCATTGGTGTGTTCATAAGAAGTCTGCTTTTCAGTGGGGTTGGGTTTAGATGTAATCCACATACTATACGAAAGTGTGTCAAACAACTACGACTACAATTTTTATTACTTATTTTGTTAATTGACTTTAGGTACTATTTATTTATTTTTGTAAATAATTGAAAAAAAAAAGAAAATGATAGGAAAGAAGTGTTGTAAACTCAAAGTTATGGCATATTTGGTTCGTTGAATAAAATAAAATAGATATTTTGTGAGAATAGAATAAACAGAGACGGTTCAATAAATTTAAAAGAATAAAATAAAATATTTAAATAGAATCTTTTTTATTAAAATTAAAAAAACTATTAAAACTTCTTTAATACTTTTAGGTTCTTCCATTCTAGTTTTCACAACAACAAGAATTCTTGTTAATACTTTTTTTCAATGTTCTTCATCTCTTTTTGTTTGTTCTTGAACACTGTTATTAATTGTTTTTGTTGCAAAGTGGGCTTACCTTTTTAGATAAATATTTCACTTTTTTTCTGATCGAATAAGCTTGCTTTACAAATCCTCCTTCGTGTACATAATAATGAGAATTTTTTCACTCTTGTTGTGATGGAACGACTACTAAAGTCCTCCACAAGTAATTACACGTTCAAAAACCCTTTGACCTTTGATGGTGCCTCAAGAATGAAGAGAAAGAAAAAAAAAAGAGTTTTTTTTTTCTGGTTTTTCTAACTTACAGAAGAACTCACGTTCATTCTTTTTCTGTGTGTTGAAATTAGTACGTTTATGTACTATTTATAGGCGTATTAGGAATATAGAGATAGATATTATGTTTAAATTTAAACAAATTAAATTTAAATATAATGGATAGATAATTTAAATTTAAACAAATTAAATTTAAATTTATATCCTATCTCAAACATTGAATTAAGTTATATCAAAATAATATCTACTATTAATAAATTAAATATTATTTAATTATCCACAAATAATTAATAAAGTTACTTGCTACGTGGATGCACCACATTTAAATGCAACAGTTTTATTTTTCAACAATATCATTTCTAAATGAATCCAAGAACTTATATTAGTAATATGCTTATTACTCATTTTATGACTCTTACGCTTAGCACTAAGGTTTCGTCAATCTCTAGTGCTAACATTAGCTAGTTTACTTGTACTAGGTGCCAAATTAAACAATTTGCAACAAAAACAAAATACTCTATCTAAGTCTTTTGAATAAACTAGTAATCTTTTTTCATGCATCTTCTCATTTGTCAACTTTTGAATATAGTATGTAGAAGAAAAAAATCTTAAAAATCCATCTTTAGGAAAATTTAAATCATTAACTTTAATTGGACCTTTTTCTACTAATAAATCTCTTAAATTGTATCAATATTTGTCCATCGACTTGGATTATAAATAGTTTTAAGAATGCAATCATTTAAATTAATAAGTTGATCACCTTCATCATGATTTCTATAATCATTTTGAATCTCTTCATTAACTTCTTGTTCTAGTATTTCATCATCATCTAACTCTTTAAGATTATTAACTTATTCGTTTAAGGAACATTCATTAATAATTTCTGATTCATTATTTTTATTACTTGTAAAAAATTTATCGAGTGCCCCTTTTTAAGATTGAATTAAACTTTCACTTCTTTTTCTTTTAAAGCTTTGAATAACTAGATTCATATTTTTGATTTGACATATTTAAATATTTATTATGAGAAAAAAAGAATTCAAAAGTAGATATTATACATTGAAAAAAAATTGGTTTTATATATAGGAAAAAATATCTATTGAAAATAATTAAATATGTTGATTGGAAATAAGAGTAATGAGTGAAAAAAAAATAGCTGTTGGATATGGTTAAATACATATGATTGTTAGTTGATTGGAAGTAAGAGAATCTAGTTGAGAACTAATATCATTTTAGAAATTAGGAAGTGATAGAAAATTAAAATTTATTACGTACATAATTAAAGAAGTGAAGAATAAGTAATTTTATTAATTATTTTTTACTTTTATATTTTTTAATTTTTATATATTTTTTATATAATTAATTATATTATAATTATTATAAACTTAAAAGGCCTTTCTAAATTTGAGGCCTCTCCAAATTGGGGGCCTAAAGCCCTTGCTAAGGTGATTCACCCAAAAATCGACCTTGAGAATAAGGTAGGAATAGAAAAGAATTGTTATTATGTAGTTTGATTTGAAATAATATATGAATTATTATTATGATTTATTGTAATGTTCGGTTGGTAAATAGTATTTTAGAATAATAAAGGTATAGTTGATAAAAAGATAAAAATATTTTTTATTATAATATATAATTATTTATTTTTATTTTTTTAATTATTAATAATTTATAATTGATTTAAAGCATTAATGATTAATATTTTATTTAAAATTTAATCATTAATATTTTAAAATACTAATATTTTATTTATAATTAAAATATTATTATGATTAAAATATTAATTTTTATAATATATATTTAACTTAAACATTTTATTATAATAAGATTTTTTTTATAAAAGAAACCCTTTATATAATTTAGTAAAATTTATACCAAAAGGCAAAAATAAGCAAACTTTTCTTTTTTAATCATTTAATTTTTTTCATTAAAATTGTAACATTTTAAAGTTTTAAAAATTTATTATTAAAATATTAGTATAATTTTCTCTTTTTCTCTATTTGTATTTTTCATTTTTCAATTTATATTTTTATTAAAAATTTAATTTATTAATAATTTAATAAGTTAAACATTAATATTTTTAAAATGTTAATATTTTATTTATAATTTAAGCATTATTATAATTAAAATATTAAAATATTGATAATTTCAAAATTTTTAAATAAATTTTTA